GCTCTTAGCTACCTGAGTGCTCCCTCTTCTCTGATTCTGCTCTCCCCTGCCCGAGGTTGATAACTTTGCACAAACCAAAGCCCAGACACTTGTCCTTCCCCATCTCCAGCTCCCCTAATAACAGCTTCTGCTCTAAGGTGCCACCCCCCAACATCCCAACATGGAGTCTCTGTGTGCTCCTGGAATGCTCTAAAGGGAAGAATTAAAGTGCCACGAAGGTGATAGAATTGTCGGAAATACAAAACATCAACGGGTAAATTGTGAGATTTCAGTCATGGAATGTTCCATAACAGGGTACAAATCACAAATTTTTCAACAAGACGACAAAGAGAAATAAGGAAAAGCTATCAGTGCCATCTTGTGGAAAGACCTATATTAAAATGTCCAAGGTAATCTGGCCACACCCAGATCATGTTGAAACCTCCACTCACTGCTGATGATGTGCATCCAAGGGATGGCAGGATGGCTCCACTCTTCGTTTACAGCAATGGAGCTGATTGGTGGATGGTCCATTCTGATTGCCTACTTCTTGTGCCATGGCAGTTATTAAATAATTTGTATAGCATCCCTCACTATACGAATACCACAGAAATCCCCATAGCTCCAACACCACACACACACACACACACACACACACACACACACACACACACAACCCACAGTCAAGCTGTCTGCCTCAATCCTCTATAACATGACTCTTTATAACATGACTCTCCAAATGTGGGAACTTTACATTGACCTATCACAGCACCTCATCCCCAACAAATGTAAATATACGTGGACCACAGCTGCTTATGGTATAACTTTCTCTTGCAAAAACAAAGTTGATTTTATTTCACTTCTTGAGTTGATTAGAAACTATTTCTCCTCCTTTCTTATATCTGAATATTACCCTCGTATTAGTTGCCTGTTGTTGCATAAAAATTACCCCAAATTTGATGGCTTAAAATAATAAATAATTACTATCTCATAGTTTCTATGGGTTAGGAATTCAGCAGCAGCTTAGCTGGGTGGTTCTGGCTCAGGGAATCCATGAGGTTACTGTCAAGATGCTGGCCATCTGAAGTCTCGATGGGGCTGGAGGATCCACTTCCAAAATAGCTAGCTCCCTCATGTGACATTGGCATGAAGGCTCAGTTCCCCACCAAATAAATCTCTCCACAAGACTCCTTGAGTGTCCTCACAACATGGCGGCTGGCTTCTCCAAGGCAAAAACCACAAGGCCTTTTATGACTTAACTTAAGAAGTCACATGCCATCACTTCCACCATATCCTACCAGTTACACTTCTATCAGTGTGGGAAAGGACCATACAAGGCAGGAGGTGGTTCCCTGGGACCATCTTGGAGGTGGGGCATCACACCACTGCCCTTCCTGTATCCAATTTCCAAATCATCAGGTTCCAGGTGTGAAATCTGTTTACACAAAGGAAGATCAGCATACTTAAGACACTGAGAATTCTGACTGCAGTCCAAGGGCCCCAGGAAACCAACTGCAAGCAATCCTTTGCCTTGATGGGACAAAGAGGCCGGCTTGGAGCAAGGAATTCTCTGACTCTGGCTTCACCTCTAACTGCCACTGGCATCAAGCCAGTCTGGGAACTGGAAACAGAAATAGGTCAAAACATTTTTATGGACTGGGGAAGGGGGAGCTAGGATGTCCCAAAACTGTTCTGTTGAGCTTGTCAAGGAAAGTTACTTCTACTGTTTCATGATGGAGAGAACAAAACAGAAGACAGGAAGACTCCTGTCTTCATACGACTTTTCTGGTGGTTCTTACCCAAGCTTATCTTTCCCCCACCGACTTCTTTAGCGCTTGTTATTTTTATTGCACAATTAACTTTTTTAATATATATTATCTGATTGTCTTTGATGAGTAATTTAGTGCTTTATTATATGTTATGAGAACAATTACATTGGAGTCTAAATCCTCTCAAGTGTGTTGTAAATTCCTTCAAGTCGGGGAAATTAAGCTTATTACTCAGCTCACCAACAGTGTCAACAGACTGTTCTCCAGGAATGTGTCCCCCTCAACACACTCACATACAGGCATTCACATACACCCGCAATCCCACACTGACAGATGACAGAAGAGGAGCTCGACAAAGAGCGAGGCTTATTTATCCCTTATTACAAAAATAGTAATTAGACTTAGCCAGGATCATCCTGATACAGTCATTATTTCCTTAAAAACACAGACATGTAAAAAGTGCACCTTGAGAAGGTGCTACATGATACCCCCTTATGGTCCACAAACTCATGCACTGAAGAAGAGACACATCGTGCATCATCCCATAGTCCCGGAGACTCGCATACACCCCCAGAAATGTGCATTCACAGTATCGCCTATGCATTCCTTTTTTTTTTCCTTCATTTGCTCTTTTAACATTTTTGAGCACTGTGTATTAGATTTGTGGCTCCTACACTAAGAGGTAACCCCAATCCAATAAAATAACTGGGAGTACGTATTTATACAAGGTGAGAAGTGAGCACAGAAAAAGGCTAAATCTCCCTGAGGGTCAGGTAACATTTTATAGAGGAGAAAGGAAAGGATGATCAGTGTTGAATTGGCTGCGGGTGGGGGGGGGGGGCGGGGGGGGGGGGGGGGGGGGGCGGGGGGGTGGGGGGGGGGCGGGGAGGGGGCGCCATGCCGGGCTCTGACACGGTTAAGTTACAGAGGTCTGAGCCAAAAAACCATCACAGAGTGGTTTTCCTTTCAGTTCGAGACTCCCAGGCCCAAGACAAAAAATTAAATAGCACCCTTGACCATGGGACACAGCCCAAGGCAAGGACACTGGGCCCTTTTCACCCAGGCTCTGTTGGAAGGGAGGGGCACAGCTGTAGAGAAGAAGGAAATTCCTACAGAGTGAGCCAGCTAACCTTTCTCTAAAGGAGGTCCAGGCAGGTGGAAGGATGCTCTCCTGCCCCTGCTGAGACCCGCACAAGCGGAAAGTCACAGTTAGGGGCTCAGGAGAGAAGAGAATCTCTGTGCCCCGCCCCAGAAATGTCTTCCCTCTGAAAAAGATAGGCCTTGAGGTAAGGAGGCAAGGAAGCGCATGGGGTGTGGGGAGTGATATGGGAAGTTTTTCTCTAATGAGTGAAGGCAGCAAAGAAAGGAGAGCAAGACAAAGGGACCAAGAAAGTTTCAACTTGGAAGGAGCACACACAGGAGCCTTGTCTCCAAAATCAGATCAGCCAGAAACCCTGGGGAGCCACAGCAGGCAAGGAGGGGAAGGAACGGATGTGGATGGGCAAGGAGATTGATCAGGAGTTGGTGGGAAATGGGAGTGCCAACAGGAAGGGGCTCCTCAAGGCTCAGATCGCAGGGAAGGGGAGGCAAGGGGGGATCATGCAGCTCCCGGCCCCTGGCGAGGGTAGTTGGGGGCAGTGCTTCAGCCTTGTCTGGTTAACTGGTAAGTGGATTTTCCACAGGGTCAGGGGAGCCTCCGAACTTGGGGGAAGAAAAATTCCTTTCCATTTTACTGGAACCAGAGCTTTAAATGGTCAAATATGTGTCTGTGGCAGGTGGGGACAAGGGAAGGGAAGTACATCTTTATGGCTAAGTGCCCTGGGCTTGGATTCAGAGAGGCCTTGGCTTGCCAGCCCAGCCACAAACTAGTTGCGTGTCCTTGGCCAAGTTAACCAACTTGTCTAAGCCTCAGATTACGTGTGTACAAAAAAGACACAAAAATACGGTCCACATGTTGTTATTCCAGAAAGCCTTTGGCGCAGGGCCTGGTACATGAGCAAATTCAACAAGGGTTAACTATTTTCATAAGTATAATTAGTCTGCATCACTAGAAGCACATTGTTCAAATGAGGATACAGACGGGTCAGATCACAGCCAAGACGCTGTGTTCAGAGCTAGGTCTCTACCTCTACGAACAACACCAATGAACTCTGGTCTCCCCACCGGAGGGTGACTCAGAGAGCCTGGAAGTCATGAAATACTAAGAGAAATCCTGCAGTTGTTTAACACAGATGATATTTGGGAGTGTGAGGATGGCCATGTGAAGAGGCAGCATCCTCCCATTTAACTTTAGGAAATAATACTGGGCATTAAAAATGCTGGAGCCAGGCTGTCTGGTTTCAAATCCCCAGACCCTTAGTCACCTCACTCAAGTTCCTGAACCTCTCCGGAGCCTCAGTTTCCTCATCTGTAAAGTAGGGTTAATTAGATGACCTGCCTCATAAGATTATTGTGGCAATTAAATGAGTTAACACAGGTAAAGTGCTAAGAATAGTGTCTGGCATATAGCGAGTGCTCAATAAACGTTCATTCTTATGTCGTGGGTTATTATCACTGGACTATAATTACTATCGCGGATAGGACTTCAGGGCGGCAGATGACAGCCCAGTATTTTTTAATAATCCCAGCAATGGAAAATGAGAATAGTCCTCCGCACAGCGGCGATCGCCCTCACTGGACAGGTTCAGCGAGTCACTGATAAGGACCAGTCAGTCACCGTAGAGGAGATTCCTCCCCCGAGGAGGAACCCTTGGGCGTCCACGGCGAACAAAGTCAGACCCCAGGAGGCCAGGCCCTGGGACCGCAGGGGCAGTGGACACTGGTGTAATAACTGCCACCGGCCGTCAGAGAGCAGCAGAGCCAGACCCCGGGTTGCCTCGTCCGCACTAGGCAATTCGTCGTTCCCTCTGGGTTTGCCTCCCTGCTGTTTGGGTAGCTCCACCAATCCCCGTGCGCTCCGCTGCGGTAGTCCCGCCCAGTACTGAAATCCAACCAATCAACGAGGGCGCTGCTCCGGACCGGGGCCGGATCTCGGCGCCCGTCCTGTCACTCAGAGCCCCGGGGTCCGGCGCTTCAGCCCCGCCCCCGAGGCGGCTCAGCCAATCCCCGCGGCGGAGCGGGGCGTCGCCGGACGGGGCGCGGAGCCCACGTGGTCCCAGGGCGCGGGCGCCGGTAGGTGGCGCTGGGCCCGGGCGCGCGGGGCGCGGGGCTCGGGGCACGGGGGTGGGGGCGGGGCGGTGGCGTGTTCTGCCGCAGCCATGGGCGTGCAGCCCCCCAACTTCTCGTGGGTGCTCCCGGGCAGGCTGGCGGGGCTGGCGCTGCCGCGGCTCCCCGCGCACTATCAGTTCCTGCTGGACCAGGGCGTGCGGCACCTGGTGTCCCTGACGGAGCGCGGGCCCCCGCACAGCGACAGCTGCCCCGGCCTCACGCTGCACCGGCTGCGCATCCCGGACTTCTGCCCGCCGGCCCCCGAGCAGATCGACCGCTTCGTGCGGATCGTGGACGAGGCCAGCGCGCGCGGGGAGGTCAGCGGGCGGGGCCTGCCGGGGTCAGCGGGGGACAGGGCGGGGACAGGCGGGCCGGGCCCGGAAGGGACCTGGCCGGGCTCCGGGAGCGGGGCCTGCGGATACAGGACGTGAAGCCGGGGCGGGGGCGGGAGGGGGAGGCCGCGGGGAAGCGGCGAGGGGTATGAGTTGGAGGGAGAAGGGTGGAAAGCGGAGGCTGTTGAGCGCTCTCCTGATGTCACTTCTCGCCCCTGAGAGCCTGAGAACCCTGCGAAGCCCTGGGCCTGTGGGAAGACTTGAGACGGGCCCAAGGGGTGGGGAGGGCATCAGGCTCCACCCCATCAAGCTCCCTCTTCCCAGGCCGTGGGGGTGCACTGCGCCCTGGGCTTCGGCCGCACTGGCACCATGCTGGCCTGCTACCTGGTGAAGGAGCGGGGCCTGGCTGCAGGAGATGCCATCGCTGAAATCCGGCGCCTTCGACCCGGCTCCATCGAGACTTATGATCAGGAGAAAGCCGTCTTCCAGTTCTACCAGCGGACTAAATAAGGGGCCTCAGCTCCTGTCTGTGTCCCGGGCCCTGACCCACGTGTGCAGTGGGGCCAGAGACGCGGACACGCACTGAAAGTTAAGTCCTCCGGCTCCTGCTGGCTCGGGAGACTGAGTAGCCGTTCCCCGCAGGCCGGTCCTGACTGAAGAGATGGGTGCAGCTGCACTGGGAGGTTGGGGGGGTCCCTCCACTGCTTCCCTGAATAAATAACTTATAAGAACGAGCGCACAGTGCATAGCACCTTGCAGTTTACCAAGCATGCCCACACGTCAACGAATTTGAGCCTCACCCGAGCCCTGTGACCTGGGAATGGCAGCAAGGCCACCCCTGTTCTTTGGGTGAGGTAGCTAAGGCTCAGGCCCAAGGCCACACTTCTAGAAAGTGGAAGGGTGGGCCAGGCCTTCAGCCTCCAAGATGCTGAGACTCTTGTGTTCTCTGCTGACCTTTGATGTGTCTCCGGCGGAGCTGGTCAACCAAGAGGGCACAAATCCCCAGCAGCCCCGGGTGTCTGATGCTAACAGGCCAGGAGAGCCCCTGTGGACACAACCCCCCCAGTCCGGGCCCCCCTGCCCCTCGTGTGTCATCCTCTTGAGACAGAGAAGGCCTGCGTGTTCTCACAGATAACCACCATTTCCAGCTCCCAAGGGCTGGACACCCCTCACCAGCCTTGGGCTGCTCAGCTCCCCTGTGAGCAGCAGCCCCCTTATGCTGCCCCACAGCCTCATGATACTATGACAGACATGCATTCCAGATGCAGTGGAGACGGAGGGAAGAGGCCAGGGTCCCCCTGAGGCCCCCAACCCGGGTAGCCTAGGCCAGAGGCAGGCCTAAAGGCACCTGCTCCTGACACATCTTTCTCCTTTCCACAGCCGCCCACCCAACTCAACCCCCATCCAACACTCTCTCACGTGCTACCCCATCAGCCAGAGTCTCGCCATTTGTCCCCGGGAGTGGGAGACAGGCCGTAAGACGTCTCCCCCTTTCCTCTGAGGTGTGTCAGAGCTGAGGACTCCATACTCCATCCTATTCCCTTGGTCCCTATCACCCAGCCAGGTGGGGGGTGTGAGGAACCCCCAATTCCAGGCATGGAAGCCCCCCACCCCACCTGCTGCTCCCCGGCAGCTTCCCAGGCTGTTTGTTGGTGCAAACCAGAGCCCCGTCCAAAGGGGAGTGTGTGTGCACGCGCGCGCGCGCGAAGGTAGGAAGCGTGCGGATGGCGCACTTCCCGAATCCCTTCCCTCTGCCTACCAGGGAGGCTTGAAGCTGCACCCCGGGGTGCACATCTGCTCTGATACTGCCCCACCAGGTGGGACAACAAGTCCTCAACCTCGCTGCCCTCCCTTCCTCCTGCGCTCCATCCTCCCCACATCTTCTGCACTGCAGGACAGGAACCTGCCCTTCCCTTCCTCCCAAGGCTCCTTCAAAGGAGACAGAACATTTTTCTAACCCCATTAGAGCCCTGTGTGCAGCCTCTGTCCCCATAATTTAAGCAGATCTCTGCTGCCTCAAGAGTTCCTCCGGGAAATAAACATATAATTATGTGCTTAAGGAAATCGGTTTTTAAATAAGTAAGAGTTGCCTTGAAATGGAAAACTCTGCCCTTATCCTTCTTCTACCTTGGGAGGTTAGCCTGAGGCTCCTTCTTGGCTCATCCCCACCCCCAAATGTTCTGCCTGCTCACCATCCCCTCTTCTGTATGTGGCCACCAACGACGGGTTACAGGCTAGCCATGACCCTTCCCCAGTCTACTTCACTGAGGGATGGGTGTGAGGAACGAGCCATCTCCACCGACACAGAACCTTCGCACTGCCTCACACCAGGGTCTGTCAGCCTCACACTGCTGACATTTGGGGCTGGAGGCTTCTTTGTTGTGGGGCTGTCCTGTGCGCTGTGTGGTGTTTAGCAACATCTCGCCTCTGCTCACTAGACGCCAGTAGCATGGCTCCCCAAAAAACGTGACAGCAAGAATGTTCCCAGACATTGCCAGATGTCCTCCAGGAGGACAAAACTGGTCCCAGTCGAGAACCACTGCATCAAAGCAACAGGCACCAGGTGCAACGGTAAGCTTTCATTTCCTATGGCAAAGTGCTTGGGAATTTCTCCCGTGGATGCACAAGTCTTGAGAGGGGAGAAAGGACCAAACACCACCATCAAACGCTCTTACCTTCTCGAGCTGTGCCTGGTACCCAGCCCCAGCCCGTCCCCTCTAACCAGGGCAGGTTTTCAAGATGGTGACAGCATTAACTTTCGACATTCAGGAGGGTTTTATTCTCCATGAGCAGCTGGGGGGCACAGCTGCGGTGATACGGACTCGCACCCCCATGTCTTTAAAGTTCTGTTCGTGTTTCTTCTCTGCACTGTGGCTTGAGTTCCCTGCTGAATGGAGGCTGTTAGATGGGGAAGACATCCCTCCATGTCATTCGGGTTCTACAGCCAGCACCTCCTTGGTTCCTCTCCCAGAGAATTGTTCTGATGCACAAGCAACTGGCATCAGGACAGGAGGGGTACCAGCCACTCTGAGACTGTTCTTCCCTGGCCTGGTCCTCCTACCTCCACTTCACCCCCAGCAAGCCCTCACACACCGGGGTTCTGCTCTGCGGGTCCTGGGTTCTGTGGCCACCTCCCAGGACTGTGTCCCAGCACAGAGCCTCCTGCTGCGGAGATCAGCCTACATCCTGCCCACTCCCCCATCTCCCTTGGAGCTCGGCCTCTTCAGCACCCCTACTGCCATCCCTGACACGTAGGGACCTGTCCCACGGGGCAGCTCATCACCCGTCCTCCCCAGGGGAAGGAGGCCCACTCCTCGTGCACGGTGCCCCCACCTGTCCCCCAGGACCCCTCCAGATCTTCCCAGGGAACTGATGAGCACGTCACAGGGGCCGGGATTTTATCCAAATCATGAACTATTTCCCAGAATGAACTGCACTCATTTGCCAAGCCTCCAGTCAAACCTTCTGCCGACTGTGTTGCCATCCTTTCCAAGAAGGACACTAATTTGGTCTCACAGGATCTTTTTGTCACAAAACAATACCAGTTACCACTAATGCCTTTCACACTTGGTTGTGACTATACTTTGTTTAGTCATATGGTTACAACCGTCATATTTATGAAGGGCCTACCATATAGCAGGTGTTTTTACGTGCATCGCATTATATCATTTTATCCTTACAACCACTCTGCAAATCAGGTATTTTTCCCTTTTAATAGATAAACTGAGGTTTATCGAGCTGGCTGAGTTGCCCAGTGCCTCACAACTGCAGTGAAGGAGCTGGGATCAAATCCAGACATCCCATCTGCCAGGACCTCCCCCCAGCTCCAGCGACACAGGGCAGTCTGTCTTCACAGAGCTTGGCATCAAGGGCCATCTTATCAACTCAGCCTCCGATGTCCCCTCTCTCCATCCTCCTAGGAGGCCAGAGAATAAACATCTGACTGAGGCCAACACATCTGAGCTCTAGGCGGTGCTTTAAGATGCAGCCCAAGAATTTAAGTCCTGAATAGTGGAGCTGATGCCTGAGGTGACTCTGTCACATCCACTACTACCTAACTCAGAGCAGGCATTGTCCTCACCCAGCATGACAATCTTGAGGTACACGTGAATGGCATTAAGCCCTTGCAAATGTCTTTTTGTGTCTGATGATTTATTAAAAACTCTAATATCCCTTCTGTTTTTGTTGTTGTTATTTGAGCCCTTAATGCACGCCAGGCTCCATGCCAAGTGCTCTATAGACATTCATTATCTCACTTAATCCTCAAAACAACCCTACAGACAAGGTCTTATTATAATGCCCAGGGCACATATGAGTAAACTGAGGTCTGGAGGGTTTGAGCAGCACACCCAGTCACATAGCTAGAGCAGGATTCAAACCTGGGTTTATCAAAGTACAAAATGTCTTGTCTCTTGGGAGTGGAGAGGAGACTTGGCTGTCATGAGAAAGTACGCAGTAGCATGTGTGTCCCCCAGAAGCGAGGCACTGGGACTCACAGGCCGTCAGTGGGATCTGGGATCACCACCTCACACCAGACTGGGGCAGTGCCGCTCTGACCTGGGAGCGCTGAGTGCTGACCTGCCAGGCCGGCCACCACCCCAACAGGGTTCCGCCTCAAGCCTCCCGCACCATCAAAACTATAGTCCCCTAACAACTGAGAAATGAGTTATATGAGCACTTCTTCCATTACTTTTAAATTTTTCTCCGGCTATTATGGATTCAAGGCATACTCTTGAGAAGGCAGCATGCTTGTCCAAGCAAGCAGAAATTTGAGAAACACTTGGTGCACGTCCACACCTGAAGTTGATGACTTATTTGCAACCTTGATAGCCAAATCCTTTGTGCCAATAAATTCCTTAAATTGCTTCAACCACTCTCTCACCCTATTTTTCCCTTGACTTATTCTGTCACCATGGTTATGTGATCATGAAACAAATTGGTGATGTCACCGCGGAGCTTTCAATATGTGGGATTCAGTATGGCAAACGGTTCTGGGATTCTCCCCCTACCTTTTATACTAAAGATGCCGCTGTCTCTTCCTTACTAATATATATGGAGTAGGGACTCTGCTCTAAAACCAAGGTGGGATGTACGGACAGTACTCGGTGTGGCTGTCCCACAGGTGGGTGGCACTCCTCACCTCCTGCAGTGGGTTCTACGTGCCCTTTGGCTCCCCAAGCCTACTCCAAGCAAATTCGTCAATTTGCATGTTTTCTGTAGGCACCTTTGTGAGGCTGAGTTGGGGCTGGGTGCACCTCAGGCCATGAAATATAATTAAATAAAGTAACCACGCTGGGATCAAGCCAGCAGAGAGAACTATGCCATTTTTGACCATGACCTGTGAGGCCCCAAGGAATCCAATCCCTTCTTCCATCTCCTTCCTCCCTCCCCTGTAGCCCTTGTTCTCCCTGCTCTACCTGTTTTGGGGTCCCCAAGACCACCCTCACTAGAAGGACTCACAGAAAAGCTGTCATACTCTCAATGATGGCTCATTTTGGTGGGAGGATACAGTGATAATCAGCAAAGGGGAAGGGCGAATGGGGCAGAGTCCAAGCAAGCGGGCACGGGCTTCCAGGGGCATCACATGCACATACAACTCACCCAGCGATTGTGGAAGCATATAGATATTGCCCGATGATGCAGTTCCCCCGAGCCTAGG